AACAACGTCTGAATTTTAATTTTGAGCATCAACCATTATAGCAACATCGTCATCGTTGTAGAGTTCGAACGCTGTATAAGTTAACGAAAATAGTGCAGTTGGAAATCTATACTGAAGTGAGGACAGTCTTCTAGTACTTCCAGTATAAATCTTCCTTGAAATTTTAGTGATCAGCTCCTCAAGGGTGATATTTCTCTTGAAGGATAAGGTGACAAAATAATTTGATGCGAAGATAACGCCAATTTCATTTTCCTGAATTTCTCCATCATAATAAACAATAGTTGAAATATGTCTCATTTTGAGAGTTTGATAGTTTAAAAGATTGAAGGTCTTATATATGCAAAAACGAATAATTGTTTCTAATATAAAATCATTCTTCTAATTAAATAAATAATATACGAATTAAAATATAAACTAATACTAAAAAATAAAAAAAAAATATTCACAATCATTTAAATAACCCAATTTAATATTTTTACCGTATCAGCAAAATATCTCGAGATATGATATCGCCTTCCATTTTACAACCACAAAAAGTAATAAAATAATTAGTACAATAAAATTTGGTAAATAAATTAAATATGAAATAAATATAATATAATAAAAAAATAATTTTACCTTCTAAAAACTGTAACAAATCTACTTGATAAAAGAAATTTATAGAAGAAATAATGTGAATATAATTTTGGTGTGGTTTGATATTTGAATTTGGGAGCATTTATAGGGGAAAGAGATGGGTCATTCAGGATTTAAGGCAGCTGCGGTAATAATAGAACGAGCAATAATTGAGGGAGAATAATCTAAGGCTCGGACAGAACCCCAGTAAGGCATACTTCATGATCCGCACTTTCCGTCCACGTCTGTAAGGGGCGTATCCTGAAAAGCGCTTTATTATCACTCTGTCAGAATGGGTGCTAGATCATTAATATTTGGAGAAATGGTGCATGACATATAATTATTTATTGTTTGGGTGATTTTTGAGTAAAAAAACTTCAATTTTTTCCTCTCATCTTAGATTAATTGACGAATAAATTAAATACGAAAAGTATTATAAAAAATATTAAAGGAATGAACTTCTTTTCCAAATTAATAAATTTTGCTTAATATGTATATTAATTTAAATTTACATGAAGCAATAAATTATTAAGTTAATAAAAATTCATAGCAACACATGACATTTTGCATAGTATATATATGTCTTATCATATAGCAATCCTTTAACACATGAATCATCTATATGGGAATATCACAAATATTGAATGTCACACATTATAAGATACTTGTATCTGATCTAATTAAATTTTTTAGTTTAAATTGATACTTAAATTTAGTTTTTAAATACATGATTAGAGACATGCCTATCCCGATTACCAGCAACGAGCAAGACCAAGACAAAATCCTCCGGCACCGATGGCTACTTGCAGAAGCATAACCAAGACCAATGTGGGTTAGCTGGAAGACACCTCCGGAAGGTAGTTGGATTCTGAATACGGATGGAGCTTATAAAACGACTACGGGATTAACTGCAGCGGGAGGCCTAACCCACAACAAAGAAGGTGTTTCGATGGGTGGCTCTATGATGAAGATTGGGACAACGAGTAGTGCCCCAGCTGAAGGTTGGGGTGTGAGACAAGGCCTCGTCCTAGCAAAGTCCTAGGGGCGACAAGACTCATCATCGAGATGGACGCGAAATGGGTTGTTGGCTGGGGATATTAGAGATTAGAGAATCCTAGAGGAAATAAATGCGCGAACCAGATAAAAACTAACTCCATATGTAAGGCTCATAACCTTGTGGTCGTGGGATCGAGTCTTACGGTGGGCAATTCATAATTCTGACTGCCGGAAGTCTCTTACGGAAGTTGCTCTCAACTTGGCGTTGGGGGCAACCTACTATCCTATCTCCCCTTATCCTATTACATATGGGAATAGGGTCAGTTAATTTAATTTAATTTTAATTTTAATTTAAAATTTATATAAAAACTATAACGTCTATACTTGAAGTTAGAAAAAAAAGGTCGTGTTTATATTCCTTAAAGGAAAATATATAATAATCATTTAAAAGCATTATTTTAAATAAATAAACAAATATATAAAAATAGATAAAAACTAACCCCGCATGCATGGGAAAGTACAATTGAAGATTTGGGGTTTCTATTTCTGAGCCATAACAATTAATTGGATGCCTTGAGAGTTCTTTTTCCGAGTACTCTTTGAAAATAATTCTTCAACAAATTAATTTAACTTTCAATTGAAAACCCAGATTTTAATCAAATTCGCCGCACCTACTACAATTATTTGGTGTATAAATACATGCATAAAGTACATAAATGGTCTTATGATTATATGATATTGTCTTATTAAGTCCTTATACTATTAGAAATTATAAAACAGTCCCTTAATTATAAGATACTACTTTTTGAGTCCCCCAGCTATTAAAATTGTAACATGGTCATCCGACTATTTATATATTCAAAACTCGTCCTTTTCTGCTTGAAAATTGAACATCATCTGAGTTGGATGTTAATATGTTGACTATGATATGATAAAATCTTGTCACAAAATCGTTGGAGTTGTATTTTGTGGATTGATTCTCCGTTTACATTATGCTGACAAGCGAGTGGTTGAAAAATTATGTCATTGCTTCAGTGCTTGAAAGCAACTATAATACTAGTAGATATCATTAAAATATGATTTTATCATATCGCAGATTCGTAGTCTGCGGGTTGTCCTCTAGCTCAGAGGACCATCTATTTTTACAGGAAAAATATGAGTTTGGAACATCTGGATAGTCGAATGATCATTTTGTAACTTTTAATAGTTAGGAGACTCAACAAATTAATGCCCTGTAATTGAGGGCTCAATTTATAATTTTTAATAGTCAGAAAATTCAACAAAATAACTCTATATAGTCGAGGGACCGTTTTTATACTTTGCCCTAAATACAATTATTTGAAATCTTAAAATAATGAACTACACTACAGGTGTCGGAAAGGGAATAGGCAATTATGAAGTCCGCCCCTTCAGCCACATTATTTCCAGCCTACGCCACATGCACCGCCGTAGGCCCACACCCAACTAATTTCCAGCCATTTTGACTCTTTTCTCTTTTCTTAATAAATAAAGAATAAGTTAAGCTTTCATTTCTGAAAAAATTAAATAAATTGTCTGATTTAAGATTAAGGAATTATAAAAAATACGATGATCTAAAACATTAACTTTTTTATTATAATATTTTTAGTTTAATCGAAAATTTTAGAAAAAGTTAATGTGTTAAATTATATCCAACAAAAAATATTATTTTTTTATCATATTTTCGGTTACGCTCGTTTCCTAATTATTTTAGTATATTCATTCTTTCTTTTTGATTAAGCTAAGATGATTATAAAATTGTATTTATTCTAAATATTTTTAACCACTTCACAATGAACGCTCAATCACCCTGCTGCAGTCTGGTACTCGAACTCATGACCTCTAAAAATAACAACGATTCATTTAACCAATTTTAAGTCAACGGATGATTCCTATTTTACGTTTATATTTTCTTTGAAATTGAAAAATTCGTTCGTGGCAATAATAATAATAATTGTATAACAATCAAACTTTTAACGAGGTGGAGTACTATTCTTGATCGTTTAAGACAATGAATCATTTTATTAGTATTTCATTTAATTCAACCAAAATAAATTTGTTAGAATGGGACTAAAAAGATAGAATCAAATCTTACACAAGACATGATAAATTTATATAAAAGATGATAATTTAATTATTTTTCAATTAAATATTTATTAAACAAATAGAAGAAAAATTATATCTCCGTAAAATTAAAAATAGCTTTATATAATAAATATTATATGATAAAGGATATTAGTAATCAAATCATCTATTGTCATCGACAGGGAATGTCTCAGGTATGACAGCCTTAATATACGGCTAAGGAAATACGTTATCGGAAATATTATTATTTTTTAATATTTTCGGTAAAACGCTACCTAAAACATTGTTTTTTTTTTCTACTGAAAATTAGTTAGTAAAATTAACATTTTCGGTAAAAAAATAATGTTTTAGGTAACACTTTACCGAAAATGTTAAAAAATAATAATATTTTCAGTAAGAATTTTCTTTAGCCGTATATTAAAGTTGTCGTACATCATAACTATCGAAATAAAAAAATGAAAGAGAAAAGAGGGAGAAAAGAAATAATGGATCAACAGTTACAATGATATATTCATATTTAATTTATTGAAAATAAATTATATAATGTCAATTCTCAAATATTAATTTATAAATATATACTTTAATGTATTTATTTTATTTATATGATCCCGTTGCCGTTGATGCTCCATCCAATAATAGTATATAACTTAAATACTCGAGTATAATGTGCTTTATTATTTGACTACAAAGATTAATACATTGATATGGTTAAAATATAGAATGTAATGATTGGATTATTAAAATACAAATAGTATAAATATTTTATAAAATACTTAATATGGTAAATTACGCGTTTAGTACCTAAGCTATCAATTTTGATCCGTTTTAGTACCTAAACTTTCAAAATCATACCTAGAATTTAGTTTTTGTTTCATTTTAGTAGCTCGCTGTTAAAATCTTTAGTTTTTGTTTCATTTTAGTACCCCGTTCAAAATTTAACGTTAAATTTTGAAAAAATTTGAAAGTTTAGGTACTAAAACGGGCAAAACTAATAGTTTAGATTCTAAACGAGTTAAAGTTTTAATGACGGGTACTAAAATGAAATGAAAATTAAACGTAGATATGATTTTGAAAAGAACTAAAAGTTTAAGTACTAAAATTTGATCGATAGTTTGAGTACTAAATGTATAATTTATATCACGCTTAATATTAGGTGGTTAGGTTTTAGAGGGTAAGCAGAAGTAATATATAAAGCGTTGAAATAAGAATTAAACAAGAAGCAACCAATTTGATCGGTGGTTTCGTCTTCCAAACTGTTTTTACGTACAAACAGTTATTTCTTCAACCTTTCTTCTTCTTCAAATTTGTTATGTTTGTTCATTTCATGCAAGTATGAAAGCTGCAAAAACAATACCTTCTATATTAAAATACGTCCTCGTAATCTCCGTTTCTCTCTTGGTCTTTGTTTCTCTTCAGAATCGCCGCTCTAATACCCTACTCGCCACCACTATCACCGTCACCGGCGTCACCACCTCCAACGACCACTACACTACTTCTTTTTCTTCCGCTCTGGACTTCTCCGATGACCTCAAAATCAGGGCTGGCTACACCACCTACGACGCCTACATCCAACGCCAACTCAATAAAACCCTCAACCCAAAGCTACGGAAAATATGGACGACCCGAGATTGGGACCGGAAAATCAAGGTCTTCTCCAGATTCTTCAACGAAATGAAGCTCGAAAACTTGCTATCCAACTCCTCGAAATCTCTCTCCATCGGCGCCCGCGTCGGCCAGGAGGTGGAGGCTCTCAAACGCGTCGGCGTCACCGATGCCGTCGGCATCGACCTCGTCCCCTTCCCGCCGCTCGTCGTTAAAGGCGACTTCCACAACCAACCTTTCGGCAACGACACCTTCGATTTCGAGTTCTCCAACGTCTTCGACCACGCGCTTTACCCGGAAAAGTTCGTCGCCGAGATCGAACGGACGCTAAAGCCTAACGGCGTCTGTATTTTACACGTGGCGTTATCGAGACGGGGTGACAAGTACTCGGCTAACGATTTGTACAGCATTAAACCATTGAGTAAGCTTTTCCGGCGATCGGAACTGGTACGTGTGCGTAAAGTTGACGGGTTCGGGTTGGACACCGAAGTTGTATTTCGTAAGAAGAAAATGATCCGACGGTCCTAATTTGATTTGTTACTTATTTAGTTATAACAAAAAAAACAAATTATTGAGGATAAGTAATTAATTTTTATGGCCAAATAAATATTTTTATTGTTTATTATAAATAATTATACACAAATTTGTTGTTTATTATTTGGATTTGTATTATTTTGAAAAGGTAGGTATAGACGGTTATCATGTAATACTTTATTTGTTACAAAATTCTAGACATTTCTTTTGTTTTACACGTAATAATAATAATAATAATAATAACAATAATAATAACAACAATTATAATAACAATAATAATAATAATAATCCATTCAATGTACATATAAAAAAGTATAGAGAAATATAATCAAGGGTAAATTATATAGTTTCTCACTTAATTTTATTCTCTCCTATTTTACTCAATGTACTTTTAATTTTTCTAATTTGCTCATTGAACTTTACGGAGTGAATAATTTTGCTCATTCAACTATTAACTTTTTAACGGTGTTATGACATAGCACAAGCATCAAAACAAAGTCGTTTTTGAAAATCAAATATATATCAAAACGACGTCGTTTCAAATCCTCTTTTTCCCCCCATTTTCTCTCTACTTTGCAAATAAAGTGACTGATTGCCGTCGTCAACCACCATGTTATTTTTCATTCCGGCTATCGTCTACTGTCGTTGATGGTGGCCATTCAGTCTCAAAATTCATAGGTCCATTTATCTCGACCCACTGAGTTCGAATATGATGGTTTGTTTCATCAAAAAATGTCTCAAAATCTGTGAATCTCGACTGAAACATTTTGACTTCCTTGCTTTCAATCTCTGATTCGTGGACTTCGAAGCAAGTTCCGACAAAACAAATGTCAGATTCGGACTCAAGGTGTCGAGGTGAAACGACCCATGAAATATGGGATCGAACGACCACCATCTACAGTGGCCAACGGTGACCGACGGTGGCATCCGACCACCTTCTATTTTTATTTTATAGTTGGGTAAGCAAAATAGGAGAAATAATAAAGTTTAGTGGGGAACGGTGTAATTTAACCTTTATATTTTCAATTATTTTATATTAAATAAAAAAACATATTATCACAACGTTAGAAAGATAACGGTAGAGTGAGCAAAATGATTCAATATGTAAAGTTCAACGGTAGAGTGAGCAAAATGATTCAATATGTAAAGTTCAGTGAGCAAATTAAAAAAATTAAAAGTTTGGTGAATAAAATAAGAGAGAGAGAGTAATCCACGGCTGTGGGCGCTTTATTTCCAGCTTATGCTAAAAGCCTAAATCCGAATTTTCCAACTTTCCCTGTAGGCCCAACGTAAAGTACACCCAACTTAATAATAAATGAAATAATTTGTTTTACAAAAAGAAATCATTATATTATTAATAGAGTTTTTAGACTTTACAAGTAATATATTGACAAAAAAGAAAGCATCAAAACATTGGTTGAATTAGGTTTCTTGTTACTAATACCTTACAATATAAATAAGGGTCAATTGCGCGTTTAGTAATTAAACTATTAATTTTAACCCATTTTAATACTTAAAATTTCAATTTTTTTCAAAATCATACCTAAAATTTAATTTTTGTTTACTTAAACGGACCAAAACTAATGTTTTAGGTACTAAACACATTAAGTTTTTAATAGCAGAAAACTAAAATGAAACAAAAACTAAACTTTACGTACTGTTGTGAGAAAATTGAAAGTTTAAGTACTAAAATGAATCACAATTGATAATTTAGGTACTAAAACGCTTAATTTACCCTATAAACAATTCAGGATTCTAGCTTTCTTATATAACATTATATACATTGAGATCAAATACAATCTCATATTTAAAAATTTCAAATTTTCATATAATTTAGAAAAATCGAGCATGTAGAAATGGGTTCTTAGGTATCTGTAATTTCATCCACAAACCATGTCCTAATACATAATGGAAGTGTCACAATGCCGACAGGAACAGAAAATGGTACATCTCAGAAAGTTTAAATGAGCCAAAAGCTCATTGATCCCAATGAACTTTGAACTACATCAATAGAGAAACAGAAGAGACTCATCGAGTTGTTTTCATTCATTCTTCATAGAATCTTTGAGATGTCCCCTCTTTCTAATGCCGAGACAAAAGTGCAAACGCCATGCATCGACTACGCTCTCCGGCAGTGAATAAGCCAAGCCCCAGAGGATGGAATGGGGCCAGTAGGGCGTGCAACGAGGTTCGTAGCCTATCCAGCGCATGGCTGCACGAGCATAACCATCTGTCGACGGAACAAAGAAAGAAGACCTTCTGATTGATGCCATTTTTGTTGCCACGTATAACGGAACCTGCATTTAGAAACCCCTTGGTTGATTAGAGAAGGTCGATGCATAGAGTCAAGCAGGTCTCGATATTTGCAACAACGTTAAGGCACGAAATCTTTCTAAGCCGACCTAAATACAACAAATTCATAGATGTTCAACTTTTATCTTGTGATCATACAAATGAATAGACTTCCTACCCCCGATTTAACAATAACCCTCCCTTTTATTTTGACAATAGAACACAATGTGACCTTGGATGTCGATACTGAAAATATTCTTACAACTCATTTAAAAGTATAAACAGTATAAGAGAGGGGAACACAAGAGTTACGGATTGAATGAACGGAAAAAGGGGATGCTAAGAAACACTCATATCGAAAGGAGTATTCAGAAAAGAAATCCTAAGATATAGAAAACGATATGATATCGGGGAGTATGCCGGTATGGAGAATCATAAAACTAATGTGAAAATTGATGACCTATTGATGACAATATTGCATGTAATTGAGTAGCATGAATGAACGATGGTGTCATATTCCTGGTATTAAACTAATATCATAAGAAAACGCATAGAAACATTATTGAATCAGCTTTCTTATTCATCGTCTTGCAGTGAAAGCAGCGTTTAATATATTCATGATGCTAACACCCCATAAGATGAGAGCGAAAGTGATTGAAAAATTGCAGGGTTGAAAACAGTAAATCTTTTCTTCTCCCAAAAGAAATTTCCAAATCAAATTTTTTGTCAACATTTCTGGTCAAGTAGATTGAAAAAGATGCCTTCTGAAACAAGAAAACAAGATAATGATATATAGCTAATTTCCAAAAACAGGAGTAGCATGCATGGCCAACACACATTTGTAAAAATCTATGTTTCAGAACAAGAGTCCATTTTCACTAAAACGTTCACAAATCAGGTTGTTTACACATAGAATATCGAACTGTAATACACTACATATAGAGGTAATTCGTTGTTGAAGACACATCAATTTACCACTGAATCACTTTTACTTATGAGCAGCAGTTTCTAACAAATGAAAAAGCGGCAATGCACTTCAACCAATAGAAGTTTGAAATAGTAAAAACACATAGCCAAGACATTTAGACCTGCGTTTCTCTAGTCTCTACCCTCACGTCACGTGTGTGCTAAACGGGTGAAGCTCTCATCCATTACCATTCAATACAAACTTAATCAAAATTCATCACTATCCATAAGACAGATTTACACAATCCAAGGCAGGTCCTACACATATGATGGCAATGGTTGATGTATTGAAAAGTAATGGACAAAATACTAATGAATTGGATCTCAACCTGTGTCAAACACGTATATGGTGATATGACCTCTAAGGATCATCCAAATACATGAAAGAAAACATAGAAAAGACTGATCACACCGAGTCAAATGCATACCCGTATCTAACACTCGCACCCGAATCCAAGTAACATGGATATAGAATAATTCGTATCTAGAATCTCGGTTCAAGTTTCAACCTTTACATGAAAATGTCTTCATTATGTAGAACACCTAGACTAAACCATTGGCATATATTAGCAAACATTACCTGGCACTGAACATCAATCCCACTGTTCTTGTATTCGACATAAAGGCACCTAGAGAATTGGTCAATATACCTGAAAACAATCCCCAAAAAATCAACTTCAGTTGCCAAAAAGAAATAAAACCCAATTAAAATTTCAAATATCAGAGCACTCACGCCTTAGTAGCAGCATAAACAGCATAAAGTGGATCAGAAGGTATAACAATGGCGGCACCAGAGCCAATATTCACAATAGCACCTTTCTTCTTCTTCACCATCCCAGGCAAAACAGCTTGAGTAACCTTTGTGGTGCCTTCAACATTAACCTTAATCAAATTCCTCAACAACTCGTCATCAACCTCATGGAAGAATCGAGCATAAGGATACGAAATCCCGACATTGTTAATCAAAACCCCAACATCCAACCCTTCGATTGTCTCTTTAATCTTCTTCACACCTTCATCGAGATTGCCGGTGAAGTCCACTACCACGGTCTTGATCTGAATCTTGCCATGCTTGGCCAAGATCGAATCGGAAACATCTTTGAGTTTATCGGGATTACGGCCCACCAAGACGAGATTAAGCCCTTTCTTCGCCAGCTGAAAGGCGAAGCCTTTGCCTATACCGTCGGTTGGTCCGGTAACAAGACCCCATGAGCCGTATTTCTTGAGGTTCTTACCGGGTCTGAGGAAATTGACCCAGACCCATCTGAGGAAAACAAAAGAGAATTTGAAGATTGATAAAGAACCCAGAGTGAAAAGGAAAATGACCCAGATAGGTTGAGCCTTGAGAGTATCGAAGAAACAGGTTCCCATGGATTATTTCGAGTGAAAACTTGAAATTGTGTGAAAATAACAAAGAGAGATCTAATGGGGAATATAAATAGAGTGCACAGAATAAAATAAAAAAGGAATCTTTAGCAATCCTGGTAGGCAGAAACAGTTGGGGGGGAAACTGGAAAGGATTGATTATCTATAAATGAAAAGGGCAATAAGTGGATGAAGTAGATGCTGAAAACCACCATAATTAACTACTCAAGAATTTACTCAACGCTGGGACTTGGGAGAGCTTATTATGTCCTGTTTTGACTGTTCCGATATTGTTATCATCATTTTGTAAAAAAAAAATATTGTTATCATCCAAATCACGAATAAGTAAATTTAGTGGTTAAGAAAAATTTTATCTTTAAAAGTTTTCGATTTAAATATGATATTTATGTACATATTTAAATATTTATTATTAAATAATTGATAATTTTTTAAATAAATATTACTCCGCCTTATAAATTATAATCAAGTAATTTTAAATTTTAATTAAAAAAAGTTAAAATATTTTATTTGCGAAAACCCTATTTTTTTCTAAAATATCAAAAAAAACTAAACTCTTAAATCATATTTTATCTCATTTACTTCAATCATCAATCATCTTCGGCCACCTATATGACGCGACATACAACCTATACGTCGTCAACCAACCATTAACTATTTACAATTCTTAATATCATTTCAAAACCTAAAATTTTCAAATTCTTAAATTTCAATCCCTAATCCTTAAAATTTCAATACACGATCCCTTAAAATCATTTAATATATCGTGGTAATTGACTGTGAAAACCATCTCCTTATCCATTTGATTGGTCGACCGATTGAATTTTGGTCGTTTGGCCATGAATATTAAAATAACGAAAGGAGAGGGGAGGAAGCACGCGTTTTTAATAATATGTTTATTTTTTTTAAATTAAATATTTTAAAATTCGAGATTTATTATACGTGTCATTTAACGAAATTTTTTTAATGATTATTAACACCAAGGCACCTAAAGTGATAACGTTTGTAACGTTAGGCACCTAAAATGATAACATTTATAACTTTATACACCTGGATGAGCCGAAAAATACTTTAGACAACCACTAAAAAAATAATATATTTTAGACACTTATTTTATACTTAATATTTTTTTTGTTAAAAATTATTGATGTAAATTGTTAAAAAAAAGTTTCTCTAATAAACTTTATTTAAAAAAAATAGAAGTCAGTCATAAAAGTCTACCTTTTGACTAACTTAACATCATCGGAAACAATTAAAAGCCGATACAAATATTTTTTTTATTTTTTCAACTTTTTCTATTTTATATATATTTTTTAAAATTTTGATAAAATATATTAATACCATTAAAGACATGAAAGATCCAGATGAAATTTAATGACTACGTATACATTCTAGCATGTCGAGCAAGTATGAGTTTTGAGTCTTTTTCACATGGTGGCTTAATGGGTTCATTGCATTTCTGTTAAGAAGATGAGATAATAAACGAGTAGAGTTCAGTTGATGAAGATGAATGCAGGGTGTATTTTCCTCAAGTATTTACATTCAATATTTGTGTTAGATATACACTTAAAAGGATATACAATAAAGTCGAAACTTAAATGTACGTATGAATGCATGGTATGAATCGGACTTTCATTTAATCTTCACCCCACCCAACCTGACTCGAACCTAATTCTATAAAACCCGTTAGATTTGGATCTTATGCCCATCCCCACACTTAAATGATTAATTTGTAACATTTTATACTTTAAAGTTTAAAACTAATTTAAAATTGTAGTTATAGTTTAAATATCTTTTGTATAATTAACTCGAAGTTATGGTATAGATAAAATTATTTTAAATTACATACATCTTAGTCATGAAAATAATATTTGAGGTTATTCACATAAAACATTATATGCATCCAATATACTAAAAATATTCTCTTGTTTCATTTTTTATATATAAAACTTCAATAAAAATATGTAAATGCTAAGAATTTAATACTGTGATCCAATATATCACTTTAAGTAATGGTAAGAATTATGAATTTCATAAATCAATTAGACTAAATTCGATTTTCAATAAGAGGTGTATTTACAGTTTCAGTAATAAGGATGATAATAAGATAATTTAAGAATAAAAGAATTTGATATACATCATCATCATCATCATCATCATCATCATCATTTAAAGGGAAAAAGAAAGAAATAATAGAAAATGCTAAACCACAAACTCCTGTAAGCACTGGAGAACTCTACGTTATCCTAAAACCAATGACACTCCATTTACCCCTTCCATGTATACTATATTAAGCAGGAACGATACGTATAAAGAACTCCGAATACACACAAACTTAAAGCAAGAAAAAATAAAAATAAATAAACATCTTCATTTGAAACATATAAAAACAAGACGATGATTTTGAAGCACGTCTTTCGGGCATTATCTATTGCTTTTTACGTATCATTGTCATTCCCCTCCGCACATTTTCACGATGTGAACCCGATTCCGGGCATGCCTGATCCACTTCATGCAAAGTTGGATTCTGCTTCCTATTCGCATTCTGGTTCTATCTCGCATTCGAGTTCTGCCGCAGCTTCCCATGCTTTCTCGGGTTCGCAATCCTTTTCGGCAAAACATGATGATGGCCGGGGCTCTTCTTCTTCTGTATCACATTCAAGTTCGGCTTCTGGCGCATCCTCCCATTCTAATTCGGCTTCACATTCTGCTTCTTTTCATCATTCTGGTTCTATTGAAGGTTCTGGTTCTGCTGAGACTTCTAAGTCTTCAACGGGTTCCGGGGCTTCTAGTTCCTCCACAAGTTATGGGATTTCAAAGGGTTCTGACGAATCCTCACAACCTGCCTCTGCAAATCAAGGTGGTGCTATGGGTCATAGTTCTGCATCTTTTTCACTTTCAGGTTCAGCTTCTAGCGCATCCTCACATTCTAGTTCAGCTTCACATTCCGCTTCTTTTCATCATTCTGGTTCTGTTGAAGGTTCTAGCACTATTGCAAATTCTAATGATTCTAAAGGTTCCGGTGAATCTTCACAATCTAGTTCAGCAAATCAAGGTGGTACTACGGGTCATGGCTCTTCATCTTTCTCACATTCAAGTTCAGCTTCTAGCTTATCCTCGCATTCCGGTTCAGCTTCACATTCCGCTTCTTTTAATCACTCTGGTTCTATTAAAGGTTCTGGAGCAACAACAGATGTTAATGATTCCAAAGGTTTAGGTTCTGTTGTGACTTATAACTCTTCATCAGGTTCCGGGGCTTCTGGTTCCATAACAAGTTCTGGTTCTTCATCAGGTTCTGGGGTTTCTAAGGGTTCTAACAAATCCTCACAATCTGGTTCTGCAAATCAAGGTGGTGCTATGGGTCACAACTCTGTATCTTTCTCACATGCAGGTTCAGCTTCTAGTGCATCCTCACATTCCAGTTCAGCTTCACATTCTGCTGCTTTTCATCATTCCGGATCTATTGAAGGTTCTGGCACTACTGCAAATTCTAAGGGTTCTGGCGAAACTTTACAATCCAGATCAGCAAATCAAGGTGGTATTACGGGTCATGGCTCTTCATCTTTCTCACATTCAAGTTCAACTTCTAGCTCATCCTCGCATTCCGGTTCAGCTTCACATTCCGCATCTTTTAATCACTCTGGTTCTATTAAAGGTTCTGGAACTACAACGGATATTGATGATTCTAAAGGTTTAGGTTCTGTTGTGACTTCTAACTCTCCATCAGGTTTCGGGGCTTCCGGTTTCACAACAAGTTCTGGTTCTTCATCAGGTTCTGGCCCTGGGGTTTCTAAGGGTTCCGACAAATCCTCACAATATGGTTATACAAATCAAGGTGGTGCTATGGGTCACAACTCTGTATCTTTCTCACATGCAGGCTCAGCTTCTAGCGCATCCTCACATTCCAGTTCAGCTTCACATTCTGCTTCTTTTCATCATTCCGGTTCTATTGAAGGTTCTGGCACTACTGCAAAGTCTAATGATTCTAAGGGTTCTGGCGAAACTTTACAATCCAGATCAGCAAATCAAGTTGGTATTACGAGTCATGGTTCTTCATCTTTCTCACATTCAAGTTCAGCTTCTAGATCATCCTCGCATTCCAGTTCAGCTTCACATTCCGAATCTTTTAATCACTCTGGTTCTATTAAAGGTTCTGGAACTAAAACAGACGTTGATGATTCTAAAGGTTTAGGTTCTGTTGTGACTTCTAACTCTTCATCAGGTTTCGGGGCTTCCGGTTCCACAACAAGTTCTGGTTCTTCATCAGGTTCTGGGGTTTCTAAGGGCTCCGACAAATCTTCACAATCTAGTTCTGCAAGTCAAGGTGGTGCTATGGGTCACAACTCTGTATCTTTCTCACATGCAAGTTCAGCTTCTATTGAAGGTTCTGGCACTACTGCAAATTATAATGATTCTAAGGGTTCTGGCGAAACTTCACAATCCAGTTCAACAAATCAAGGTGGTATTACGGGTCATGGCTCTTCATCTTTCTCACATGCAAGTTCAGCTTCTAGCTCATCCTCGCATTCCGGTTCAGCTTCACATTCCGCATCTTTTAATCACTCTGGTTCTATTAATGGTTCTGGAACGACAACGGATGTTGATGATTCTAAAGGTTCAGGTTCTGTTTTGACTTCTAACTCTTCATCAGGTTCCGGGGCTTCCGGTTCCACAACAAGTTTTGGTTCTTCATCAGGTTCTAGGGTTTCTAAGGGTTCCGACAAATCCTCACAATCTGGTTCTGCAAATCAAGGTGGTGCTATGGGTCAAAACTCTGTATCTTTCTCACATACAGTTTCAGCTTCTAGCGCATCCTCACATTCCAGTTCAGCTTCACGTTCTGCTTCTTTTCATCATTCCGGTTCTATTGAAGGTTCTGGCACTACTGTAAATTCTAATGATTCTAAGGGTTCTGGTGAAACTTTACAATCCAGATCAGCAAATCAAGGTGGTATTACGGGTCATGGCTCTTCATCTTTCTCAAATTCAAGTTCAGCTTCTAGCTCATCTTCGCATTCCGGTTCAGTTTCCCATTCCGTTTCTTTTAATCACTCTGGTTCTTTTAAAGGTTCTGGAACTACAATGGATATTGATAATTCTAAAGGTTCAGGTTCTGTTGTGACTTCTAACTCTTCAATAGGTTCCGGGGCTTCTGGTTCCACAACAAGTTCTGGTTCTTCATCAGGTTCTGGGGTTTCTAAGGGCTCCAACAAATCCTCACAATCTGGTTCTGCAAATCAAGGTGGTGCTATGGGTCACAACTCTGTATCTTTCTCACATGCAGGTTCAGCTTCTAGCGCATCCTCACATTCCAGTTCAGCTTCACATTCTTCTTCTTTTCATCGTTCTGGTTCTATTGAAGGTTCTGGCACTACTGCAAATTATAATGATTCTAAGGGTTCTGGCGAAACTTCACAATTCAGTTCAGCAAATCAAGGTAGTATTACGGGTCATGGCTCTTCATCTTTCTCACATGCAAGTTCAGTTTCTAGCTCATTCTCGCATTCCGGTTCAGCTTCACATTCCGCATCTTTTAATCACTCTGGTTCTATTAAAGGTTCTGGAACTACAACGGATGTTGATGATTCTAAAGGTTCAGGTTCCGGGGCTTCCGGTTCCACATCAAGTTCTGGGGTTTCAAAGGGTTCCGATGAACCCTCACAGTCTGGTTCTGCAAATCAAGGTGGTGCTACAGGTCACAGCTCTGTATCTTTCTCACATGCAAGTTCAGCTTCTGGCGGGTCCTCGCATTCCAATTTAACTTCACATTCTGCTTCTTTTCATCATTCTGGTTCTATTGAAGGTTCTAGCACTACTGCATATTCTAATTTTTCTAAGGGTTCTGGCGAACCGTCACAATCCAATTCAACAAATCAAGGTGGTATTACGGGTCATGGCTCTTCATCTTTTTCACATTTTGGCTCTAATGCTGATTCTAGAAAGTTTAATGATTCAGATTCTGCTACGACTTCTAAAGGTTCTAACTCTTTCGTAAATTCAAACAAATCAATGGATTCCAGTTATACAGGGACTTCCCAGTCTTCATTAGGTTTTGGGGCTTCAAAATCCTCTGAAAGTTCTAGTTCATCATTAGCTTCTAGCGATCATAAGGGTTATGGCTCATCCTCACACACCAATTCTGCAACTCATGATGGTGCTATGAGCCATGGCTCTTCATCTTTATCACATTCAAGTTCAACTTCAGGATCATCCTCACATTCCAGTTTATTTTCACATTCTGCTTCTTCTAAAGGTCATGACTCTTTTGCGGATTTTAACAATTCTAAAGATTCTGATACTGCTACTACTTCTAAAGGTTCTAACTCTCCGGTGGATTCAAACAATTCAAAGGATTCCAATTCTACAGGGACTTCTCAGTCTTCATTAGGTTCCGAGGCTACAAATTCCTCTGAAAATTCTGGTTCATTATCAACTTCTAACGATTCTAAGGGTTCTGGCCCATCCTCACATATCAGTTCTGCAACTCACGCTGGAGCTACGAGTCATGGCTCTTCATCTTTCTCACATTCAAGTTCAGCTTCAGGATCATCCTTACTTTCCAGTTTATTTTCACATAACACTTCTTTGGAAGGTTCTGACTCTTCAGCAAATTCTAACAAGTCTAATTATTCTAATTCCGCTAAGACATCTAAAGGTTCTGAATCTTCCTCAGATTCAAACAATTCAAAGGATTCTGGTTCTACTGAGACATCCGAGTCATCATTACCTTCCGGAGCTTTGAATTCCTCTTCAAGTTCTGGTTCATCATCAACTTCTAGTGATTTTAAGGGTTTAGGCTCATCCTCACATTCTAGTTCCGCACCTCATGCTGATGCTACGAGTCATGGCTCTTCATCTTTCTCACATTCAAGTTCAGCTTCAGGATCATCCTTACATTCTGGTTCATTTTCGCATTCTGTTTCTTCTGAAGGTTCTGACTCTTTCACAGATTCTAACAAGTCTAATGATTTTGATTCTGCTACAACTTCTAAAGTTTCTGACTTTTCCACAGGTTCAAGCAAGTCAATGGCTCCGAATACCACTGTGATTTCTGGTTCATCATCAGCTTCTAGCAATTCTAAGGGTTCTGGCTCATCCTCACAATTCAGCTCCGCAACTCACGGTGGTGCTACAAGTCATGGCTCTTCATCTTTCTCACATTCAATTTCAGGTTCAGGATCATCCTCACATTCAAGTTTATTTTCACATTCCGCTTCTTCTAGAGGTTCTGGGTCTTCTGCAGATTCTATCAAGTCCAAAGATTCTGATTCTGATACAACATCTAAAGGTTCTGACTCTTCCGTGGATTCAAACAACTCAAATGATTTTGGTTCTACAAAGACTTCCCAATCTTCAGTAGGTTCCGGGGCTTCAAATTCCTCTATAAGTTCTGGTTTATCATCAGCTTCTAGTGGTTCTAAGGGTTCTGGCTCATCCTCACATTCCAGCTCCTCAACTCACGTTAGTGCTACGAGTCATGGCTCTTTTTCTTTCTCACATTCAGGTTCAGGATCAGGATCATCCTCATATTCGCTTCTTCTAAAGGTTCTGGATCTTCCGGTGACTCTAACAAGTCTAAGGATTCTGATTCTGCTAAGACTTCTAAAGGTTCTAGATCTTCCACAGATTCAAACAATTCAAAAGATTTTGGTTCTACCGAGACTTCCCAATCGTCATTAGGTTCCGGGGCTTCTAATACCTCTATAAGTTCTAGTTTATCATTAGCTTCTAGTGGTTCTATGGGTTCTGGATCATCCTCCCATTCTAATTCTGCAACTCATACTGGTGTTACAAGTCATGGCTCTTCATCTTTCTCACATTCAAGTTCAACTTTAGGATCATCCTCACATTCCGGTTCATTTTCACATTTCGCTTCTTCAAAAGGTTATGGCTCTTCAACAGATTTTAACAAATCTAAGGACTCTGGTTCTTGTACGACTTCTCACTCTTCATCAGGTTCTTGCGATTCTAAGGGTTCCAGTTCATCTTCACATTCTGGTTCTGCTATGACTTCTCACTCTTCATCTGGTTGTGAGGCTTCAAGTTCCTCTACAAGTTCTGGTTCTTCATCATGTTCCAACAATTCTAAGGATTCTGGCTCGTCTTCACAATCCGGTTCTACAAGTCATAGTGTTGCCACAAGTCACGGCTCTTCATCTTTGTCACATTTAAGTTCAGCTTCTGGATCATCCTCACATTCCGCTTCTTCTAAAGGTTCTGGCTCTTCCACAGATTCCAAAAAGTCCAAGGATTCTGGTTCTTCTACAACTTCTCGCTCTTTATCAGGTTCCGGGGCTTTAAGCTCCTCTTCAAGTTCTGGTTCTTCATCAGGTTCTAATGATTCTAAGCGTTCTGGCTCGTCTTCGCATTTCAGTTCTGCAAGTCATATTGTTGCTACGGGTCATGGCTCTTCATCTTTCTCACATTTAAGTGCAGCTTCTGGATCATCTTCACATTCCAGTTCATTTACACATTCCGCTTCTTCTAAAGGTTCTGGCTCTTCCACAGATTCTAAAAAGTCTAAGGATTCTGGTTCTGCTACGACTTCTCATTCTTCATCAGGTTCTGGGGCTTCAAGTTCTAGTTCTTTATCGGATTCTAATGATTCTAAGCATTCTGGCTCGTCTTCACATTTTGGTTCTGCAAGTCATAGTGTTGCTACGGGTCATGGTTCTTCAACTTTCTCACATTCAAGTGCAGCTTCTGGATCATCCTCACATTCCAATTCATTTTCACATTTTGCTTCTTCTAAAGGTTCAGACTCTTCCGCAGATTCAAACAAGTTTGATGATTCCGGTTCTGCTATGACTTCTCACTCTTCATCAGGTTTCGGGGCTTCAAGTTCTGGTTCTTCATCAGGTTCTAATGATTCTAAGCGTTCTGGCTCATCTTCACATTTCGGTTCTGCAAGTCATAGTGTTGCTATGGGTCATGACTCTTCATCTCTCTCACATTCAAGTGCAGCTTCTGGATCATCCTCACATTCCAGTTCATTTTCACATTCCGCTTCTTCTAAAGGTTTTGGATCTTCCACAGATTCTAAAAAGTCTAAGGATTCTGATTTTGCTACGACTTCTCACTCTTCATCAGGTTCCGGGGCTTCAAGTTCCTCTTTAAGTTCTGGTTCTTCATCAGGTTCTAATGATTCTAAACATTCTGGCTCGTCTTCACATTTCGATTCTGCAAGTCATAGTGTTGCTACGGGTCATGGCTCTTCATCTTCCTCAAATTCAAGTGCAACTTCTGGATCATCCTTACATTCCAGTTCATTTTCACATTCCGCTTCTTCTAAAGGTTCTGGCTCTTCCACAGATTCTAAAAAGTCCAAGGCTTCTGGTTCTACTACGACTTCTCACTCTTCATCAGGTTTCGGGGCTTCAAGTTCCTCTTCAAGTTCTGGTTCTTCATCAGGTACTAATGAATCTAAGCGTTCTGGCTCGTCTTCACATTTCGGTTCTGCAAGTCATAGTGTTGCTATAGGTCATGGCTCTTCATCTTTCTCACATTCAAGTGCAGCTTCTGGATCATCCTCACATTCCGGTTCATTTTCACATTCCGCTTCTTCTAAAGGTTCTGGCTCTTCCACAGATTCTAAAAAGTCTAAAGATTCTGGTTCTGCTACGACTTCTCACTCTTCATCAGGTTCCGGGGCTTCAAGTTCCTCTTCAAGTTCTGGTTCTTCATCAGGTTCTAATGTTTCTAAGCATTCTGGCTCGTCTTCACATTTCGATTCTGCAAGTCATAGTGTTGCTACAGGTCATGGCTCTTCATCTTCCTCACATTCAAGTGCAACTTCTGGATCATCCTTACATTCCAGTTCATTTTCACATTCCGCTTCTTCTAAAGGTTCTGGCTATTCCACAGATTCTAAAAGGTCTAAGGCTTCTGGTTCTACTACGACTTCTCTCTCTTCATCAGGTTTCGGGGCTTCAAGTTCTGGTTCTTCATCAGGTTCTAGCAATTCTAAGGGTTTTGGCTCATCTTCACAATCTGGTTCTACAAGTCACAATGTGGCTATGGGTCACGGCTCTTCATCTTTCTCACATTCAAGTGCAACTTCTGGATCATCTTCACATTCTAGTTCATTTTCACATTCCGCTTCTTCTAAAAGTTTTGGCTCTTCATCGGGTTCTAGCACTTCTGAGGGTTCAGGCTCATCCTCACATTCTAGTTCAACTTCCGGGTCATTGTCCCATTACAATTCATCTTCACACACTGGTTCTTTTAACCATTTTAGTTCCTTTAATGGTTCCGATGCTTCTAACTCTGCCACAAACTCTAGTACGTACACAAGTTCAGATAAGTTATCATGTTGTAAATATTCTAAGGATTCTAATAATTTGAATTGCACATCAGGTTCCGGTGATTCAAGCTTTTCCACAGGTTCAAGTTCTGGTGATTTTAAAGATTCACATGCTTTATCACCTTCTGGTGATTCCAGTTCTTCTACGTCTTCTAGTTCTGCCATGAGCCCTTCCACAGCTGTTGATTCTCCTAACGGTGATAGCCTTACAACTTTAGGCTCTTCCGCACACATTGGTTCTTCTTCAACATCTAGTCACTCTACGACACAAATCGGTTCTTCTGCGAGATCTAGACACTCTACGGCACAAATCGGTTCTTCTGCTATATCTAGTCACTCAGCCGCACACAGCAGTTCTTCTGCAACATCTAGCTACTCAGCGGCACACACCGGTTCTTCTGCAACATCTGGACACTCTGCGATACACACTGGTTCTTTGAGAGGCACCAATTCTTACGATGCTCAAGGTTCTACAAACTCTGGTTCTTCAATAAGTTATGATATTTCCACGGGTTCTGACAAAAGCCAATTTGCTCATAGTTTCTCTAAGGTTTTTGCTTTTGGAGACTCGTACACTGACACCGGAAATGCCCAATCATTAGGCATTATGAAAAGCTTTGTGAGTGAATTTTTATCAGAATTCGATCAAGCCATGCACTCAAACCTCGAGTTTACTGGTAGATCAAGTAATGGTCGCTTGGTTATTGATTTTCTTTGTGATTCTCTCAACATATCTATGTTGCCACCATTTGAAGTTGCTTCTAAGAACCGTTCTATCAAAGAAAACTGTGGAGTGAATTTTGCAGTCGGAGGTTCGACGTCTCTTTCGGGTGACTTTTTTAGTGCTCACAAGGTTTCCAATAACTTTGTGTGGCAAGGCACTCCATTAGGTTTCCAGACACAAATAGAATGGTTCAACCAGTTCTTCACAGAAAAAGCCTGCAATGGGAAAATCACAGAACAATGCAAGGCACAAATGGCAAACAACCTCATTTGGATTGGGCAAATGGGTGCAGATGACTTTGCCCGTGTTATCGGGTCTTCTGTTTCCTTGCGGTGGCTCACCGATATAACTCTCGATCAAATCTCCAAAATCCTCACGGTACTTATATCTTGTCTGATATTATCAGGTTTAGCATCAAACATCCTGAAATATGAACAAGAAACTTTGTTGTTTTTTTGTTGCAGACGGTGTTGGACAGTGGTGCAAAGTTCATCGTGGTTCAAGGACTACCACCGGTGGGGTGTTGGCCATTAGCCAAGTTATTAACTCCCCATTTTGCCAAGGACGACATGGGGTGTTCCGAGGTTATCAATAAAGCAGTAATGGCTCACAATGATCTCTTACAGAAGACACTGGATGAATTCCAGAAAATACATCCCGCCGCTATAATCGCATATGCCGACTATTACAATGCATTCAAGACAATCTTGGGAAACCTCACTGCTTTTGGTTTTTCAAATGGAGTCAACACATGTTGCGGCATCGGGGGTGGACTCAACTTCAACTTGGACATTCTATGTGGCATGCCTGGCACCAACACTTGCAGCAACCCTAATAGTTACATTAATTGGGATGGAGTTCATCTTACAGAAGCGATGCATAGACAAATCACTCGCCTCTTCCTCCAGGACGGCTATTGCAAACCACCTTTCGCCGACCTCGTCAACAAGCATCATAGCTTACTTCAAACCTCTCATCCATAGGCTCACTATTGTATATACATTTTCTCAATAAGATAGTCCTTAGACATCCCTTCTTCACATTGGCGAAGCAAGAGTGATGTATCATAGACTTCAAGATTTAATAAATATGTATCATTCTACACTTTATTAGATGATACGGTGGCGGCTTTTGTCACCCTTTCTTATTCGACACTTCCATTTCTCCAAATATTTAATATCATTGAAACTAAAACAAAACAAATTAGACTAAACAGAAAAAATATGAGGCAACATTACAACTTCCATTATTAATTAATGATTCTTAAACTTATAGTCGTTGATGATTGAAAAGTGTAAGATGGTACTGATTATTTTCTATAAGAGGGTGATAGATTTAACTTACTTGACCCTGTTCACATTTGATGGCCGACATTTTCTATCCGTACACCATTTTCTCAGCTACTTCGTATCAATTTAAGTGCTCATAATATACCAATAATAGGTCCATCTAAGAAATTCTTAGGAAGGTTGTTGATGTAGAGGTAGAATGGCAACAAGGACAGGACTCCGATTTCATGTTCCAGTAATTTGGAATGATAACCATCAAGGGCAGAAACTGGGAAAGAATAGAAATGCAAGAGGTATAGTGGGTGGTTTCCAGTTACCAATTCCCGTAGCATTTGATGCACATTGCATGACAACAACTCAGAAAGACCATTTTGGTGCAAGGCTCCAAGCAAATCCCACATTCATCTTCCCTCTCCAAGTCAATATGCTAGAATCATCTCTTACCGGAACTCTCTATTGTAAAACGCCTTTCCTTATCATCATCCAACCACCCCAAGCAACCATGAGGCCTTTGAATAGATGACAATATAACACCTACAACGCGATCAATTAGATAACCGGACATTGATAAGGCAAACGAATCATGAAAGCAGAAAATTTTAAATCATAAAACTACAAACACACACACATACTCAAAAATAATCATATGCATACCATAAAATTCCCTAACCGTTGCCTTCCTTCCATGTGTAGATATCTTTAATCTCCCATCTGCATATACCTATGGCACATTATAAGACATAGGGCTCATGTAAATACATAAGGAAATAACATGAATCGTCTTTAAGGATCAAAATAATCCAGGGGAAGATGGCCGAACTTCGTATAGAAGTACGTGGAAGAGGTCTACATATCTAGGGAGTAGACACATTCATGAACTATCCATCCATTGTAGCAAAAACAGAAAGAGAGGAGCCAAATGGTCGTACACCGATTTCATTCGAAGATGTGCACCGCTCTCGGCGTTTGGAATTGCGGCGGTCCTGAAACCGCAATAACACGGTCGCGCTTAGAAGAACGAAAGTGGAGGCGTGTAAATGACATTCAAAACCAATCATCCAAGCAGCAAAATAGCCAAAAGTAAGATTAAAGATTAAAGGCCAAATTCCCCAACTTGTATTCGTTTTTGAAGTAAAACCTGTTCATAAACATACAGCATTAATATAACATTAAATAGAAGAAATCAAATTCAGTTCCTATCAGCTAAACAAACATCAAAATACCAGCAAGTCCCGCAAAAAGTCAGAGATTTTAGCTGGTATAAGAATTGTTAGGCTGATAATTTACCCTACCAAAGATTATGAAGTAAATGGAAACAAGAGCAAGTAAAAAAAACATTACAGGGATGAAGAAAAAGAAATCAAAGAACAAAACTCGCCAGCAAAATGAAAACCCAGATAAGAAAACTCACATGGAATTTGCATATAGATGCTATAAATTTATTTTCATGGTAAAAATGCTATAAATCTCTTTTCATGGGCAAGAAAGTAAGCTGGTTATCGGGCAAAAAACACTTCAGAAACTTACCACATGACTATCAAAATCTCTGGATGCGGGAAAGATTTCAAGAAAATGGGAAGGCTCTTATAATAATTTTAACTGTTCAACATCAGTAAAGCAACATTAATTTCTTTTCTTTTTCATCAAGAACAAGAAAAATCCATTTTTTCGGAGACTTGAAACTATGGGTTTGGTGAGTGAATGAATGAAAGAAGTTTAATATACATAAGGGACGTGTACGTGTACATGTACATGCACATGCAATGCACGTAATGTCGAACAAATAAGTCAAAATGTATAAAATCTTACCACATATGTTTTGATTCTTTTTATTCAATTATATTTTTTATTAATCTAGATAAACACAAGATAATATATGTTTAAAGATAATTCTTTACCATTTGACGTTGAATGTTCATACCCTAAAATTCTTGGTGCTCAAACCTGAGCCCTCGCAAAATAATAACAACTCTTTTACTGTATATTTCTTTTAAACAAATGAATTTAAGATAAAAGCTTCTCGACAACTTAGAATTAAAAATGGAATGAATGCGTTTATATAAATGAAAAGGTACATGAGTTTTATTTGCGATGTTTTTATTATAGCAAGAGGTCTAGGGACAGAATCATAATTAAAGTGGGTAAAATATAACTAAAAATAGGAAATGAGAGAGAGAAAATCAAAATAAATAAAAATGGGAAACAAAATTTAAACAAATCAAATTTAAATCATACAAATTAAGTAAAGAATTTTACCAGCTACTTAAGATTTACATATACATGTAAATAATGAAGATGATAAATAAAATAATCACTCATCATTTTATGAAAGACCAAAATCGACTAAAATAATAATAATCAATTAAATTTAATCATAAAAATATAATATAAGATCGAAATATAACGTTTGATATGTTTTTAACAGCATCATCAACGTTAATTTTCGATACTTGTAATATGAACAAATGAATATTCCTAGTGAGGAAAAGGGAAGGAATTGCACCTGAAATCCAAAGAATATGGACAAAACGGAGCTCAAACCGATATGCATTCGAAACGAACGAGCCCGTGACCGGAAACTATATACCCTCGTCGTGCAAAATCGCGGATCTCGTTGCTGCGATACGGGTTGTTTTACGCTTTCTCGATTTTTCTTTTCCGATTTTTCTTTTCCGATCTACTCAGTAAGAAAACTCATGGCCTCTGAGTGATATGTATTTCTTGACCCATATGGCAATATCTTCAGCACAGGCTTGTGCCTGTGGTGTCTGCAGGAGGACGTCTAGCGTTGCAAATTCATGAACTGCGTCCTTGTATTTGAGAAGCGGGGCGTCTATGTTAACCTTCCGAAGTTCCTCGGAGTAAGAAATGGCCCGATCCTTCATCCAGTCTTGTTCTGCGACGACCGTTAGTGTCGGGGGCATGAACTTCAGAGGAGGCTCTCTCCCTGGGATCAAAGGGTTGGCAGCTGGATGATCGAGGTCGAATTTTTCCTCGGGTAGAAAAAGCTTCCATGCCCGCAGGCATGTTGACTTGTCATAGACGTACGAGTTTGCGAGTTTAATTTCCGAAGCTGTCGGATTCCTCCCGACGAAAAACGGATACATCAGGACTTGTGCCACCACCTTAACCAGATCCAAAAGCTTCCCTGCCTCAACAGCCTTTCGAGCCACGTAGTCCGCCATGTTCGCACCACAGCTTACCCCTAGAAGTACGCATCTGCTCCGACGTCAAGACCAAGAGAGCCGATTAAAACGAGAGAAAATACCACAGCCAGCATGATTAACTGACAAGCAAGGCACAAGTTAACCACAAGAACTCGAACTATATAACCTTGTTGAATCATGTCATAGAGTCTATAATTTGAATAAACACATCTACAATCCCTTTCTCTATTCCGAGATCGGATCGAACAAAAAAAACTCGAATCATCTAAGATTCAGATAAGGAATTTTCAGCTAAATCACTAGTTATTCTTGATTGTAACTTCATTCCGTAATGAACAAGCAAATGATGCATTAGTTTAACATGTTCTTACTTCAATGACACTCAAATAAACAACATAAACACGATATCGGCACGACGTGATCGAATAGAAATGAATCGAATTGATCGAAAAGCGAAGAACTAAGTTCATACCTAGAGGGATCTCCATGAGCAGCTAACCAAGGTTCAGCCATGGAAGCACCGAACCCATTGAAAACATGAGCATCCATTCTCCTCCTCCCATTCCCCATCCACTTCCCACACTCCGCCAAATTTGCCTCCTTCACCAACCAATTCAACACCTTCAAGCCGTCGTCGAATGCGGCCGGATACCGGCTCTCTGGCGCCAGCCTATAGCCGACAGCAACGACGATCACGTCGCAGAGCTTGGCAATCGTCCGACAAAACAAGCCGATCCTCACGCTATCGTTGCTGCCGCCGACGAAAGCCCCGCCGTGAAATTGTAACACCACGGGTAATTTCCTGTGCTTTGTTTCCGGCTGAGGACAATATCCACTGTAAACAAAATCACCATCTTTGCTTCCGTCTTCGTATATCGCCGGGGTGTCGGGACTAACCACCGTATCCGGCAGGAAAATCCGGACGCAAAGAGACGAAAAAGGGTCGATGTGGATGTCTTTGGTGGCGACGCCGTCGGTGAAGGAAGGGTTGCTAGCAGCAGCAGATTCCTCACGCCGCGAACTCACACCGAAAGGATCGGCGCAGTCGATCGGAGCTCTCGCTATATTATAAAGAGCATATCTTTGCTGCAACTTGAACAAGATGCTGTAGAGTTTCACGGGTAAACTCGGCATATTCGATTAAAACAAACAAAAACAAGAACAGAGAACGAATAGATAAGTTCGAACTATAATGGAGTTCAAAATTTGCGGGATTGATTTGACGCCATTGATGACTACCGGAGAAGGATTCAACTCGTAGAAATCCTTGAAGGTGTCTTCTTTAATGGCTGCTTGGGTAAATAGTCAGAGATGATTCGAGAACTTTCTTAGTTGAATTGAATGATCATAGGGAAATACAAATAAAGTGATGGGTTCAGTTTTACTTACCTGAAATGTCAACCCAGTCTGAATCTTCGATTTTGATTTCAAATTTTGTGAAAGAAGTTTAAAGATTGAAACTTTCTGTGATAAAGTACAAGGATTAATTTCATCAAACACCCTCAAACTATGCCTTATATTTTATATTGGTTCCTAATTGTGCAAAAATTTTAATTAAACTGTTAAAATATCATTATTATATCAATTAAGTTCTTCTCTCAATTCAATTATTAATTTAAACATTTTTTAATTAAAATATGGTTTGATGTATATTTGAAATCTATGAATCAAATTATAATGATATAAGTATCAAACAAGCACAAGTCAACTAATATTTACAGCTTGATCTGTATATTTTATATCATATTTGAAACGACATTTGTATAACAAATGACGTTGAAATCAATGGTCGGACTAATAAAATAGTTTATGGATTTAATTAGAATCGGGACATTTTGGAATTTAGAACAAATTCAGAATCCTTATCATAGTTTAAGGACGTGTAGTTAAATTAACCCCGGAAAGAAGCATATTGGTGAAGAGGCGCCGATCGGGAATGGGATCGTTGTGGCACGTAGGACCAGGTTTAATCAAACACCGTCACTGCTAAATCATTGTTCATTAAAATATAATTTCTCATGTATTTATGGAATCGAAACTCGAATATAAATGAGCATGAAGACTTGAATTAATTAGATTCTTTTATATATATATATATATATATATATATATATATATATATATTACAATTGCTATGTGTAGACACTCATTTTCGTCCTTATTTATTTATCTTTTTTTATCTTATTTATATATATATATATATATTATAGTTTGAAATCATTTTAAGAAATATATAATATATAGTCTTTAAAAATATTTTGAAAATATATAATATATGGTTTTTAAAACATTTTAAAAAATTATATAATATATAATATTGAAATCATTTTGAAAATATATATTTTATATGGTTTTTTAAACATTTTTGACAACTATATAATATATAGTTTTGAAAAAAAAAAATTTGAAAATTTATATAATTTGCTTAAATCATTTTTGAAAATTATATAATATATAGTTTTGAAAACTTTTTTAAAAATATATTATACAGTTTAAAAAATATTTTTGAAATATATATTATAGAGTTTATATTATATATAATATATTATTATTATTATTATTTCTTATTTTTATTTTTTTTGTTTGTTTTCTGTCTAGGGTCCAGTCCAATAGTCCAAACAGTTCGAAAACTGGGCTTGAACCAGTCCAACAGGCATTAGGGTTTCATGTTTCATCTTAGCGCTGCACTACAAGAGACCGTTAGATCGAGGGAGGATCAACGGTCAGGAAGCTAGGGTTTTATTTAACCCTCATATTATCATCACGCCGCAGCCGCACGGGAACCGTTAGATCTGGTCGTTTGATCTAACGGTCAGAATCCATCAAGAACAACTAAGTCACTGACTGACCGAAATCCTCAATCAAATCGCAGGAAAATCGAAACCAAGATCAACTATTCAAGCACGACCACCGGGATTGAACCATCCCGGAAAATCGACGAGCACCCCAAAATATC